AGTGATTTGTTTACTGGCTAAAAACTCCCTCACAGACAGTGCCATGTTAGCTGGTGCACTGTCGTGATGCAAGAGCGATGAACTGTTGGTGAAAGTTCAGGTCGAACTTTTTCATGCAGCCTTTTCAGCACTTCAAAATAGTAAGCTTGGTTAAATGTTTGTCCAGCTAGTGCAAATTCATAATGAATAATACCTCTGATATCAAAAAAGGCTAGGAACATCATTGCAGTAAGTTTGCGAACTTAATTGTCAGACCTTGTATGTTAGACATTGGGCTGAGATAGAGAAAAGGAGTATATAGATATTATCCTCCAAAAGCTGACTACCCAGAAATAATAAAATGCCAAAATGCATGCTTTTGAGATTGGGTACTAAGAATAGTTTGAAAGACAGAGTTATTATTTAAAAGCATTAAATAGTATGAAGTATGTTTAATATCATATAGATTGGGTAAAATTTAGAAAATCATTACACTAATATTTTCATAGTTAAATCAGCAGGGACATCTCTTAAATTCTCCTTCAACAGAAAATGGATTCACATTAGCAAAGATGTGTCCTCTGCTAAGAAGGAAAAAAATCTATCTGGACAAATTATAAACTACTTAAGGATGTGACAGTGTATTCATTCTGTATGCATCCTAGTGCCTGAAAGGACCTTCAATTAGCAAGCACTTAAACTTTGTAGAATAAACTCATAAGAGGTCAGTTAAGGGGTTAAATAGCATAACCACCCTCCACACACTCCCTCCAAAAGAAAAAAAGAAAAAGAAAAAAGAATTCTTACTCAGGAGGGAACCTAGCTTGTTGCTGGTACTTGGAAATATGCACATGCTTGAATTCCTTTTATGACTTCTGATGTTTGTGCAAACTGACAGACGAAAGGTACGTGATAGTAAAATGGAAAGGTTTCATCAAAGGCGTTGGACTTGAGATACACTTTAGGGATCAGAGGATTTGGAAAAAGAACGTCTAATGTTCTGTGTTGGATCGACTTGCATAACTGAGACTTTAGCCTGAATGGATTTCAACAAGGCAACCTACAGGTATGAAAGATTTAAATAAAGTGAATTTCAATTTCTCTAAATACACTCATTGGTAATGTCCAGGTTTGCTGAACGATTTCTCTGCTATGCCAGAGTTCAGCTTCTGAACACAACCAGGGGTCATACCCGGGCTCTGCTGCCTAACCACAGTCAAACCACTCTTTCTCACATATAATGAAATGAATGACAAGCACTACTAAAAGATGTTTACACTGTCCCTGTGCCTGAATCTGGGCAATCTTATTATTTAATTTTCAAATTTAGTTTCTTATGTTTGCTCTTACTTACATAATAGGATAGCTCTTAAATGATAATAGGATATTATCATTTAAATATCACCTTGGGCTTCTCTTCACATGAGCTACTGGGACCCCAAGAAGTTGAGAGCACAGCAGATGTCAAACTAAAACAAGAGGCGCTGCTGGAAACCCAGTATCTCCCTTCTGAGAAGTGCTTATGACTTGAACAGCCAGTCAGGGAGAAAAAGTGGGAAGTAAGGAGAGGTGTGGTAACATGCGCCCGCAACAGAGGATCACCCCTCATTTCCAATCACCAAGGTTGATTCTGACAAGGCTTTAACACTACCCATCACTTTGGCAATGCAGTGTATAAACCAGTCCCAGATAGTCATTTTATGACCATTTTGAAAGGGCTATCAGTCCATTGTACAGAAACATTCTACATTATACACTAGAGAGATATACATTTAAATCATTAAAGAACTTCCCCCCCAAAGGTTGACAAACTAATTACACAAAATTGATGTTTTAAATAATGCCTATCTACTAAAATGTAATAATGAATTATTTTAGTATTACTTGAAAAATATTTTTAGACATAAAACAAAGATTTATTTATATATTCTATTTATCTAAAATAAGGAACACTAACAGAAATATAAATGGATAATGTAATTGTAGACTCATTATCTCAGCCTCTTAAAATAATTTGCAATGGTTTTATAAAAATAATTAATGTTTCATATAATGCCATAATTCTGTCCAAAGACCACAATATATTTGTCAACTGAAAATGTGCTAAGGTACTGTATTAACATGACCACACTGCAGGCAAATATCTGAAGTCATAGAACTAAAATTGACTTAAATTTTATAACACAACCATTCTTGTATTGTTATAATACACTTGGATAAGTTAGTGGGCTGACTCCAAATACACAACACCTCAAAGTTTCTATTAGGAAGAGTAGCATATACATGGGCCAATTCAAACTGGATATGTCTACAGAATTTTATACTTGTGATTTCCTGGCAAAAAAAGCAATATTTAGATAGCTAATACATTTTGTTATTTTGAAAAAAGTAGTCATCAAATGCTTATAAATTTCCTGATGTGGTTTATGTGATGTATGGTTAACTAAATCGAAAAAAACATCATTTCTTATTTTTCCGATTAAAAAACGGAAAACCAGTGATGTTAAAAGTATCCCTATGACAAATGTCTAAATAAACATACCTCATATTCATTGAAAAGTATCAATAAAGCCTTATTTTGTAAGGTTCCATTTGAGGTTTTAAAATAGACTATTAAAGGATTTACTAAAATAAAAACTGTACCTTATCTTCCTGAGTAATTTTCAGAAGTTATCGATGTATCTATATGTATACCTGATCTTACATATACATATTCAGTAATACCTGTGCTCTAACAAAAACCCGCAGCCTACTGGTAAAGAACAGGGGCTGTGCCTGCGCATCGTCTTGGCTGCGCAATCTGGAACCAGTGTTAACCTGTCTGCATCCGTTTCACTCTCAACTGAGGATCGTCCATGTCTCCTCTCCTACGCTCTTTAGGGGGTATTAAATAAGATAAGCCCTTTCAGTGACTAAATGGTGCCTGGCATGGAGTGGTGCGCTGCACTCCAGGCTCCACGGTGCCCCCGCCATTCCTGAATACTCAGTTACATTTGGACTTGTAACTTGTAAAATTTGTTCTTAATGGAGAAAAAAAGCTGGGTTTGGAAATATCATAACTGACATCGAGAGCAAAGTTTCAAGGAAAAAAAGACCTTATTTATAGTCTACATAGATGAATATCTATGTAATTGGGAAGCAGATCTATAGTTTTTCAAACATATAGAACATAAAAAAAATGCAGAATTTTAAGGGAACCTAATAGTAGGAAACCAAATGATAAATAGGTGTGTTTTTTTTTTCAGTCCATTTGAAATTGTAGCCTGTTCCCCAAAAGAGAAAACAGAACAAGCATAAATTTTATAAGGCTAGAGTTTGAGGGCTAATAGAGAATACAGAAATAATCAAATTCATCTCTTTTGTTTACTAATGAACAAATTTAAACTCTAAGAAGTTAAAGTATCTTATTCAAGGCTACAAACATAGCTTGAGGAAGAGTCACACATAATTTCAAGTAACCACCACTTCCCTCCACTCTGTCCCAGGTTGAGTAGAGGGAATTACAGCTCACAAGTAAGCAAAATGATTGTTAGTGGTAATTAGGCTGATAGCAAATGACGAAGTTCAATAACAGCATGCCCAGACATCCTAATATTCAGTATGATGAAAACTTTTCTAGCACCAAAAGAGAAATTTCTAACTCTAGGACATAGAATGTACACTACTGGAACTGGGGAAACTTTCTATAGCTAATACACAGAAAGCCTTAGAGCTTACATTAAAGGTCCCCGCTCTCAGCACATTGACTTGAACTCCATTACAGATTATTTGTCACTACTTAAAACAGTCAAGGCTTAGAAGTTTTCATAGGCCTAAGCCTGAATTCTTCAACATACTACCTATTCGTTTGGTGTTCCTTTGTAATATGATTTTTTAGGGGGGAGTTTAAGAGAAAAAGAAATATATAAGTATTTTATTTTTACTGATTTAAGACTTCTATTGACAAACAATCAAGTAGGAGACCACTATTCTTAGTGAGGGTCTATTCAACTATAAATGTTTTACATTATTATCTTGAAGCAATGTATTTTTAGTTCCACTCTATAAATTTTAGCTAATAGTTCCACTCTATAAATTTTAAAGCGGTAGGTACACTTATTTCCATACTTAGGACTGGAGAAGGCATTTGTCTCATATTCCACAACCCTAGTTACATGACCTCAATAATTACCCCAGTAACACAAAAAACACCAATACATTTACACTGTTTAACAAATCTGATTATTGCAAGACAATTCTAACTCCTGTAAGAAATCTTGTATTTAATAATTATAACTAGAAAGAAGGAATCTATATAACCTGTAAACCCCTTAAAATTTGGTATTTTTTCCAACTGAAAAATAATGCTGCATCTGCACACTAATCCCGAGTTCCTTCTATTGTACCTTCAGGGCAGATAATGGTGTGTGTTCGTTCAGCTCTGCCATTGGCTACATATGCTGGCCAAGTGTCATGATAAGAATGGTCACACACACCATACACCATGAAAATTCAAGACCGGGATTAGAGGTAAAGTAAAAAATGCAGCAAGACATAGAATAGCTACCCATTATAGTTATTGACAATACTGCCCAATGGTAGATAGAAATCACCAATTTGGAAATAAAATGTTCCATAAGACAATATTAGATTCCTGAGTGAGCCAGGATTTCATATTATTGGCTTGTCGGAAAAGTCATGACACATTTTTGCAACGAAAAACATAGAAAAAATATGTCATGACTTTTCAGACAACCCAATATTTTTAGCTCAAATATCTTATTATCAAAAGTAGACTTTTATGTTTTTGAGACCAATGGTTTAAACTCCAGTTTTGCATATTTAAGCTCATCAAGTTCTCTCATTAGGAATTAAAGGAAAAAAAATTACACATTTAATAAGATTTCAAATGTTTCCAATTTAATAATTCATTTATTTGTACTAGTCTTTAGTAGTCAATCTTCATATCCGCATTTTTACTTCAACAATCATCTCAGACACACCTTCGAACACAACTAACTTAAAATATTACGACAGGAAACTACGCCTTCAGGAGCATGTTTATTGTGTTTGAGATGATACATCAGGTGCTCTCTGAGCTACAAAGGGTAAAAGGAAATCCTCTCATTACAAACTGACAAAGGTAAAAGGTAAAACATTTTTCACAACAGCATTAACCACATACTCAGAAATAGATCTGGGTTTAATACAAATGACATAATTCCTAGTCATCTACGGCTACTTTTATAACTTCATACAGATAATGAATTAGGCTAAAATGCACTATAATATTTGGTAGACTTCAGGACCAGTATCCTTAGTACATCACAAAATACATTTTGATATCCCAAAGAAGCAAGACTTGCAAGTAGGCATTTTAAACATAACTAATCTACAGCTACAAAGTTCTACTCTTGATAGCGTTTACCTTTTTGGGGAGTCTGCCGTCTCCAAAGGATAAAAGCAGAGAGTAGAATCAGTATAACATATACACAGAAGTCCGTATTGTAAAGGCTATAAAGATTTGCAGCACAGTAAGAAGATGCCTTCTGCTCCTTCACACTGCATACAAATGACGTGAATTATGTTGCGTATCTCTTGGTCCACTGTCTGGCTATCCTGTCATGTTCTGCTCTGTTGGTCAAATACTGAGTGGCTATGCTTCCGACCAGGGGATCCGCTGGAAAAATGGGAAGAATGTGGAAAGATGTTATATGGTGTCCTCAGGTAGGGTTACTATGCTAGTAAACGGAAATGCTCACCTTTCACTAGCATCTTCACATATAATGGCTAAATTTTCAAAATAAAAATGCTTAAAGTAACATAATCATCTGTATATTTAATATTCAAACTAGAAAAGCCCCTTTTAAAAAATGAATGTTGAGCTAATATAATTTTTATTAAAGATGTAGGTATGCCTTTAATATACAAAAACTGTTTTTTCCTCTTAGCACTTTATTCAGTAAGAGTGCTAGATGATTGTATTTCTGCCTTCTTAGATTTAAAAAAATGTCATTTTAAAATAAAAACTCAGATTTAACAATGCAATGCTATTCAGAATAAAACGTTTCCTTCATTCTATGCAATAATATGACAAATTACTATCCTTATCTTCATTTGAAAACTTAACCATTTTGTTTTAAATAGAATTCTGAACTGGAAATTGAATGTAAGATGTAAACCTTTATTTTGAATTTGTTTTTCAAAAAGGTAGAATATATACATGTGCTACAATATCTGAAGTGTACCAAACAACAGCCAGTAAAAAGTAAAGCTCTCTTCCTTCCTCACTCCAACTACTCAGGAGTTTTTCTCCCTGGAACACAATTGTTACCTGTGTATAGCATTTCTATCCAGAGATAGCATAAACATTTACAAGAATTTAGAATATTCTTGTGCATATGTATTTTTCTCAGCTTTTTTACTTAATATATCTTAAGAGAGCTTTCCCTATTAGTTCATACAGAGTGGTCTAATTCTTTTTAATAGGTACATCCTCTATTAATGGATATTCACATTGTTTACAATCTTTTTTTTTTTTTTTTTTTGGGAATTGAGGGGATGGGAACAGCATGGGGAATTAGGGGAAGGGGAACAGACAAGTTGCTGAGCCGCCGTTCAGCATCTCAGCTGTAGAGGGCAGCGTCACTGGCCCTCACATGTGGGATCCGAACCGGGGCCCTCTGGCGTCCCAAGCCAGCTCTCAACCATCGCGCCACTCGGCTGGCCCTGTTTCCAATCTTTTGCTTTAATAAATGCCACAATAAATTCCCTCCTTTCTCCTCCCCCCCCTCTCTTCCTTCCTTCCAACCAACCTACCTACTTATATGTTTAGTATATGTACAAACGCTAGGCCTAATATAATAGTAAAAGCCTTTGGTTAATCAAATGTTTAGAAAAAGAAAGTCAACTTCTTTTAAAAAATGACCTCCTAGTGAGATAACATGCAAAATTCTTGGCTTAAGTATCACCTTTCAAAACAGCTACCCATGTTAAAAATTATGTGTGGCAGCTATTCATTTCTTTAAAATGTTATAAATTATGCACTAATGACTATCTCTGAGTTTATATAATCATAATCCAGTCCAACTCTGATCAGCCATAAGTTTTTAATATCCATCATTACTGTATCAAATACAACTAACTATAATCTAAAAAGGAAGAAAGAACAAGAAGCCCCTCGTTACTAAGTGGTTGCTTTAAAGCTCATTGGCAGCGTAAAAGAAAAGGAGTCACACTGGTGTCAGAGACATCTGTTACTGTCAGAAGTGGTTTGTACAGCTACATAATTCAGAAAACAGAAGTCCACCAATAATAGGGAGAAAATAATTACAGGGTAATTAACAAACTAAAGAAAGTTATTGTGAAACTTTTGGTCTGTTCTAATTGAAATGGCATTGATATTTCCTCGCAAAATGTTTTATGCTGATCTTTTCACCAATAGCATTTACTTCTCAAATTCACATTAACCAACAAAATTCATTGGTTTCTGTAGCCTCGTTGTATGTGTTAATAAAGTTTGCTTACCAGGGTTGCAGTCTGTCAAAAGAGAACAAATTGACAGCAAAACCTTTGAAATGGTCAAAGCAGGACTCCAGTTGTCTTTCAGGATGTCCAGACAGATGACCCCCTGACTGTTGATGTTGCAGTGATAGATTCTGGTGCGGAAAGTAACCTGGGGCAGTCACATTAAAGACAGAAAGAAAATGAAATGCTTTTACACCAACTAAAATTCTCACCAGCAAATATGAAGGGTAACACATCACAGATGATACTAAATAACAAATAATTTAATTGAAGAGCTAATCAAATACAGTAATACCTTGGTTCGCGAGCATAATTCGTTCCGGAAACAAACTACTCGTATTGCAAGACATCGCTTATTTACCACGTAAAAATGTATTAGAATTATTTGCTTGTCTTGCGGAACACTCGCAAACCGGGTTACTCGCAATCCAAGGTTTTACTATATTATGTTTAAGTGATAACAAATTAAATGAAACCATTTAATTTGGTTGAAAGAAATTTTATTTTTAGCCAGTATAGCAGGAACTATATTGATCTTAAACGAAAGTACTTGATTTGATTAGTTTAATCAAAATGAATGACACAGTAATTCTATATATGTATGTGTGAGTGCACCTTATACACGTGCATGGGCATGCACACACACACCCGTTTAAAGACAAAGTAAAGGAGAACAAAAATGTTTTGATGCCAAAGGTAAGTGGAACTGGTAAAGACTTTTTTTTAACATAAAACAAAAGCTGCATTAGGTTGTTAGCAGAAGAGATCAGTTATCAATTCAGCTAATTTCTTGCCATGTGTGAGAAAACACTAAGAGAAGGATTTAGAGGAAGTTTGGTTAAATCATGGGCCTATTTCTCAGCCTTTCATTTCCACAACTGGCTCAATGTCAAGTTAGACTAAGACAGGAAATAAAACATGCAAAGTCTTAAGCTATTAAATAAAAGAAACTGATATATCCCTGAGATGTGTGAAAAAAAGAGGATAAACCATAGGAACAAATGCTGCCAAGTTTCAAAGCAATCACAAAAACTAACTGGTTGGCTAATTCTTAATCTGGAGCTGCAGAGTAAGAAAGAGTTTGTGGTCTCTTGGAACTAGCAATGTACTGGGATCTCCCAAGTGGAGTTTGTAAGAAAATATTAAAAGTCCTCAAAAGTGTATTTCTGATAAGGATGCAAACTTAAAAACAGGAAAGAAACCACCTGTCTACCAGGGAAGAAACCACTGGTCTTGCAGGGGTGAGGGGAGTGGAGACCATGCACCTCTAGAACTGTTCTAACACAATACATACTAATTACACAGTGTTCTTAAAATGTGGCTAGCAGAACTGAGATAGGCTAAAGGTATAAAATATATGCCAGATTTCAAAGACTCAGTACCAAAAAAAGAATGTAAAACGTCTCATTAATAATACTCTTATATTGGCTACATGTTGAAATGACAATATTTGGGATATACTGGGTTAAATAACATATTATTAAAATTAATTCACTGTTTCTATTTTTTGTTGTGTTCTTTTTTTTTTCAGCTGAGCCATCCTGCCACCTATTGGCAGCTCAGCAGCAGCTCAGCTTGGGCCGGGACTCAAACCACTGTTGTTCAGAGCTCGCACTTTTGAGCGAGCTCTTAACCAACTGAGCCACTCGGCCGGTCCTCACTGTTTCTATTTTTTAATGTAGCTACTAGAAAATTAAAAATTACATGTATAGCTTTCATTATTTTATTAGCTGTCCTCTAGAATGTGGGAGTAATTATGTTCAGATCACTGACAGCTGAATATATGCGTTGTTTACAAACACAATACAATATTTTGAATCCTTTCAGCTATTTACAATGAGTGAAGAGAACTGAAATTTTATGATTCTTCAAGAAATTCAACACCTTATCTGAACTTAAAATTAAGCAGCGGAGAAATAATTGTACCTATCACTAAGATAACAGCAGTCTTATTTCTTTTTGACTTGTCCAACTACAGATCAGAATAAGATTATATAAGATATCTCAGTCAAGAGGAATTAATCAACATTAAAGTGTTAGAAAATTAAAATATTGAGACTATTAAAAAAGTTAACATGCTAAATTGATAACCATTACATTAGCCAAATGACTATAAATCATATATAGAACTACAGTTTGAAACCTTTACATTAGTCAATTTCTATTTTTCCATTAAAAGATGCTAAGAAAAAAGTCTTTAACAGATTTTCCCTATGTACAAAGATAGTATTGTAAAAAAAATAAATCTTGCCAAAATTTTTCTACTAATTTTGCTACCATGTTAAAATCACTTTCCAATATGAAAAACGAGGCATGTAGAAATAAGACTCACTATTTATGAATATAGTCAAGAGCTACTCTGCTAAAGTTTTGTTTTCTATAATACAGAAAACCACTGAATGCAAATTGAGCAGTGAGTGATATACTGCCATTTAACGAGTCATTTTGTGGAGTTTTCTTTTGAGGGGGGTTCTTTTCCTTTTTATATAATAGCTTATTTGTTCTATTTGCAATTTCATCTCTTTCATCTGTATAGAGTTAAGAGAAATAGCTGCAAAAAAAGAAAAAGGCTATCGTCTAGATTTCCTAATAACCCCCTTCTCAATTATTCAGGTTTCCTAGGAGACCATTAGGTAAGTATTTATACAAATACTTATGTTAAGATATAAATACTTACCATGTGGTCTCCTTCTTCATGTGAATACAATTTGTGGTACTATTAACATGAGAGTTTTGTCCCTTAATTTGATTGATCTGGCAAGACCTACCCTACATACCTGAGAGCATTAAGTATGACAAAACCACTTAAATATCTTAAATTCTGATGAGACCACATAGTAAAGCCTTAAAAAAACTGATACCTATAGTTGAGAGCAAATACATCTCTAGGTGATAGGGATCTTTGGTATCTGCAATTTAAGGTAAATACCAATAGGTGGAACTACTGTTACCTTATTAAATAATGGACAAGTGATCCTGTTTTGTTTTTTTAAATAAAATAAACGCTTTATTCATTCATACACACACACACACACTCATGCATATGACCACAGGCATTAAATTGCTACATATATTTTAAATAGTACTGGGAAATGGGAACAGAAGGAACTATGTTGAAAAAAAAATTTCATCATAGTTAAGGGGTTGATAACACACTATTATGCTCTGTGACTAAAGCATAATTATACTCAGGCTTAATATTGATGGTTTTACCTGATGGCTTGACCATTTTATAATGAGAAGTCAGAGGAGGAAGCTATTTAAGGAACTTACGTTTATTTAAGACTTGAAAAATAATTTCCAGTCATTACAAGGCACAACTCAACCCTTCTCTCTGTTATCCATCTAATTCATATTCAGAGATAACAAGGAGGCATAAGTCACCCAGCCAGTCTCATTCCCATTACTACATCATACCTGGAGGGCACAAAATAAGTTTACTAAATAATATTAGTTCCCCTAGTCTTTGCCATGGTTTTCAAGTTTTTGCTTATCTATAAAGATAAGGTATTTAGCATAAAATTCAACTTATTTAACCCAGATTTCTGGAAGCCATCAAACAGGTTTACTTTTTATCGCAATATGTTTCCTTAAGGAAGGTTCCTAGGATATTTTCCCTCATATAGAAAATCTAAAATTTATCTGCTTTATTGATGTGTAAAGTGGCATACTTTTATTTACAATTAATAAACCCTCTTTTTGCTGATTACAAAAGATATTTATAAACAGCAGAAATCAATTACTTTCACAGTTTTAAAATTCTTGGTTACATGAGTTTCAATATCAATCCATGAAAAACAATGAAGTTAAAATGATTACATTAATACACATTTAACCTCTAGAAAAAACTGATTTTGGAAAGAGATAAATATTAAAGAATGCACTTCTAGGATCTTACCTTTGGTGGCTTAAATGGATAATCAGATGAAAAGGTGATATCCAGAAAAAACACACCACCTTCATATACAGACCCTGGTGGACCAAGTATAGTTGATCTCCATTCATAAATGTTATCTCCTTTAGGCCCAGCACTATTTAAAAGAAATTAAAAATCAATGTGCATATCTGTAAACAACGAATGTTAACATCTTAAATCAATTAAGTATTAAAGGTAAATTTGCAACCTAAAGTAGTAAGACATTAAGTCCCAATGAGGGGATGCATGTGTGTATAAACTTATTTGGAAATATTTCAAACTTACAGAAAAATTGCAAGGAGAAAGAACCATCTTTGTAACTTCACACAGGTTCCCTTGTTAACATTTTGCCCCATTTGCTTGATCACCCCTCCCTCCCTTCTTTCTCTATGTGTATGTATATGTATATGTGTATACACACACACACACAAAGTGTTTTTTTAGCCATTTGAGCATAAGTTGAACATACCATAGCCCTTTCTCCATAAACACTTCAGTGTACATTTCCTAAAATCACCTCCAATACAATCACAATACAGCTACAATTCAGTAAGTGTAACAGCAATACTTTAACCTACAATCTGAAAAATTATGTTGTCAACTGACCCAATAATGCCTTAAAAAAATTAATTGTTCTCCAGATACAAGATCCCATCTTGGGATGATTCATGCCCTACGTTTTTCGTCTTAATATGTTGGAGCCCTTTGGCCTTTCTTTGACTTTTATAACATTAACATTTTTGAATAAGGCTCTTTTTTAAATAGAAAGTTAATCAATTTGCACTTGTCCGATGTTTCCTCATGATTAGATGCGAGTGATGCACTCCGGGCCAGAAGAGTACATATGTGTTCTTCTCAGGGTATCACATCCGGAGGCACATGGTCTTCACCTGTCCCTAATTGGTGATGTTAATTTTCATTACCCAAATGAAGCGCTGTCCAGTTTTCCCACGGCTTACTTAGGATCTTTTCCCTACAACCAATAGACTACCTTTGGACAGACACTTTAAGACCATGCAAATATCCTGTTCTTCATCAACATTTATCCCGTAGATTTAATATCTATTTGTGATTCTTGGATGAACTGAAGAGCTACTATGACGGTGATAAAATCAAGACTCAGCAACTCCCGCCTTTCCTCCACATTTACCATCTGGCTCTGAAGCCCTTTCTTCTCCCATTTCATACAAATGTGTACATTACTGGTGAGGTCTCAAGGATTCCTATGTTTTTCCTAAAGACTTATAATTTTTTACAGCCTTTAATTATTTTGATGCTCAAATTATCCCAGATTTGTCCAGTGGGAGCCCCTTCAAAATGGCCCCTATAACTTTGTTGTTATAGGTTGCCATCATTTTTCTTTTTTTGGGTACTTCCTTACTGTCTGGCATTACAAGATGTTCTAGGTTCCCAGCCTTGGAATCAACCATTTCCTTCAAGGAGCCCTGGTTCCTTTTAGTGAGAATGTTGGTAAAACCAATGTCTAAGTGCTAGGTACTACTAAGTCCCAGGTACACTGCATTGTGCTCAACACATTTCACTAATAAAATACAAACAAGACAGACAATTCAAATAAAATCTAAACTCACAATTATTTGTTGGTAAGATGCATCCAATACTCCTTAAATCTTAAATTCTCTTCAAATTTACCATACAGACTTCCATTTTTCTATAAACTTTACATGATAAATTATCTTGACTTTCTAAACTAATATATTGAATAAGCTTTTCTTCTTTTAAAGTGATCTTCAGTTCAGAAATGAACTGCATGTTTGATTTAAAATAAGTGCAAACCAGCACTGATAAATCAACCATATTAACTACAATGTAACATTCAGATATAGTTAAAATGATTTAACTACTATAATTATTAATTCTGTAAAACAAACTGTAAACTGTAACATCAGGTAAGTAATGCTATCAATAATCAAATACATGCTCTTAAAAATAGTTCATACAGAAAAGGTATAGAAAACTTGATGGTACAATCAAAATGTCTACAAGATGCTTCAAAAATCTATCCTTAAGGCAGATATATAAGACAAATAAAATCTTATTATTTTGGCATATTTAGGGAAAATATATTTTTGAATACTATGTAAGTTTGAAGTGTACACAGCAATTGGAACTAATTACAGTGATAGCTCATTGTTCTGTCATCATTTGAGGATCAGGTATATTCCTTAAGCGAATTTTCACTGTCACTAAAAACATTCAACCAGGTAACAATTTTGCTTTAAAAAAAAAAAAGTTAAATGTGATTCAATGACATTTCATTTTCCAAGTTAATTTTTCCCTTGGTGACTCAAAATAATCATTGTAAAATTAAATTACAGTGTCAGAGACTTTTATAGCATAGCTACTTTACTAAAATGTTTCTAAAACTACACGTCACACACTACTACTAGTAGTAGTAGTACTAATGATGTTACTCCATCCTTACTACAAGCCAGGCATTGTTCATAGCATCATTGTACATAACTCATTTAATTCTCCTTACAAAATTATGAAGTAGGTACTATTATTATATTTCTATTTTTAGATGAGGGCACTAAGGTTGAGTGAGTTAAATAACTTTCTGTATTGTCCCACAGATACAAAATAACTCAGAATTTAGACAAAGTCTGAGAACTAGTTTGTATTGTCCTCAATGACTCTGCTTTATTTCCTCTTATAATTTCAGTGCTGTTAATCTAAATCTAATTTAATCCCCAAATTTTGCAAATAATTATTTGTGTAAGAGCCCAAGCAAGGAGAGCTCTTCATCAAAGAAACCAAATTTCCTCAGCAATACTTTTTTGGTTCTTAGCAGAACTATGTTATGCCTCAGATGACTGAATAGAAGGTAAATTAGGGATTACTGTATTTTAATGAATCGCATAATTTCAGTCTGGAAAGGATCTGGTTCAGGTCAAACCCCTCCCTTCACATGTGAAAAACCTAAGGTACAGAAAGTAAGTAATCCATCTTAAATGCCCACTGCCAGTGCCAGGAGAGCTGGGATTCCCACACCAAATTCTTGGTTTTTAAATCACTTACATGCTATTTTGTCACAGACCAAAAGATATGTTTATTACATATGTTGTATGAGATATGCTGAACATTAAATGTGATTTTCCCTTTGTCTTGGAGATGAGTAGAGCTGTAGCTTATGGTACAGTGATTCCTTTACTGCTCTGTTCCCAAGACACCTAGCCCAAGGTGAGTAAGGGCTAAAATTTAGCCCCTGTGTTGAGTGCCTTGTCTGGACAAAGGGGCCTTTTTTCCTTCTCACAAAGGTACCATCCGCAGGATGGACTCTGCACCCTAATTCAAACAAAGCATTTGATAGGCTAGCAGCAGACCTGCCATTGAGGATACCCAGCTAAGAAGAACATGAGTGATAAATGCTGATAGGTTTTATTTACACCTTTTACTAGCTTTCACTGTCTTTTCCAAAAGGGCAACAAACACTCCAGCAATTCTACCCTCAACCCTGGATCATCTATTTTCCCCTCTCTTGTGAATCACTCCCACAAGAATACCACAATGTCATTTCCCCAATCTTCATTAAAAACAAACCTCCATTCCTCTTACTCTTCCAGGTCCCACATCTCATGGTACTTTAATAGGCTTACTCCAGATTGCTCCATGGAAACAGCTCTCATCCAAGGTCATCATCACTACACTCAATGCTCACTTATCAAATCCTAAACTTATTTGCCTAGCTGGTCCAGCAACATTTAACACTTCTTCCTCCTCGATATACCTTCTCTAGAAGTTTCGTTGCTCGGATAATATACTTACCGTATTTGCCGGCGTATAAGACGATTTTTTGGCCCTGAAAAATATGCCTCCAAGTGGGGGGTCGTCTTATACGCCAGGTACACTTCAGATAGACTGCCCATAGTGCTTGCCCCGTGCCATAGTGGCCTCCCGATGCCCGCCCACTTCATTCCACATACCGTTCAGGCATCAGCAGCGCTGCTGGGTGTATGCTCGGCTGTGTGCGATTTTGCAAGTGTGGTAAATTTGGGTTACCGTATATTTCTTTACATATGCATTGAAGATTCGCGATTTTGCGCTATCATGGTGCCTGTTAGAATGTTGAAGAGCTCGCACTTGCGCACTAGTGAGGTCCCAGGGAGATGCTGATGCAAGGGTGGACCAGACTGCTATAGTGACAGGGCGGGCAAACAGGGAGCAGGGACCAATCAAATCAGGCTTTGTATACAGCCAACAGCCAACCACAATACTGCACCATTGTACAGTACAGCATAGAAAATGTCGACCAGTCAAACCCCTATCATCCCTATCATGGCACCAGCCAAAAGAAAGAAGTATGATGCAAATTTTAAACTGAAAGTTATAAACTTTGCTAAGGAAAATAATAATTGTGCTGCTGCAAGACAATATGGAGTAACAGAAAAGATGGTTCGGGACTGGAAATCAAATGAGAAAGCATTAAAGAGTATGCCAAGGGGTAAGTGTGCATTAAGAAGAGGCACCCCACACTGGCCAGAACTCGAAAAACATGTAGCAGACATGGTGGCTCAACATCGCCAAAACGGTTATGTGGTGACACGAAATACAATACGCTTGTTTGCACTTCAGTGGGCCAAATCAAATCTGATATTGTTTTACCTTTTATTTGGTGTGTGGAAGGTGTGCGGAAGAGGGGGTAGTCTTATACGGCGAGTATATAACAAACTCTGTATTTTGAGTGGAAATGTTAGGGGGTCGTCTTATACGCCCAGTCGTCTTATACGCCGGCAAATACGGTACTTGTTTTCCTCCTAACTTTCCCTCCTTCTCAATCCCTATTGCTATTCCTTATCTCCCTAACCTGTAAATATTGCCAGTCCTCCAGAGCTTGGTCCTTGGGCCTCTTCTCTTTGCTACCTACATCCACGCTTTTAGTGATCTTGTGTGTGCAGTTTTATGGCTTCCAACAGGGCCAATAAGCTCTTAACGCCCAAATCTGTATCACCAGCCGATTTCTATCCTGCAATCCAGAGCTATACATCTAAATTCTCAACATCAGTCTTCTATTATTTTAAATCTAATAATTTTGAAAAGTACCTCAAATTTAGCATGTCCCAAATTCAGTTCTTGATATTTCAATTCCTCCTACAA